ATACGTGCCCCGGGATCGAACCTGCAACCCAGGTATGTGCCCTGACTGGGAATTGAACCTGCAACCTTCTGGTGTATGGAAAAATGTTCCAACTACCTGAGCCACCTGGCCAGGGCAGGCTGAGAACTTCTGAGAGATGGGCTATCTTTGGTTTAAGCATGGCAAGTGCATCGTAAAGCAGGGCCAACTACTTTGGCCTGAGGAGCCGTGAGGGTGGACAAGGCAGCCAAGGCCCAGGTCCATGACAGAGGATACCAGTTGGATGGTCAGAGGTCTCTCTGAGGAGGTAACATTTGAATTAAGCTCTGAATGAGGGATGAGAAGGTGGCAGCTATACTGAGCTGGGAAAGAATTTCAAACTGAGGAGACAAGTGCAAAGGTCCTGAGGTGGGAAAGATTCTTGTGGGTTGTAAAACTTATCATGACACTGAGGGGGGCTCCTATTTAGAGGGAGAAGAGTATGGTGCTGGTAAGGGGGACAGTCAGTAGGTGCTGGCCACCCAGGCACTCAGGCTCTGGTGAGTGGTTTGGTCTTTACTCCAGGAGCAATGGGAAGCCATTGCAGGATTTAATCAGGTGAGAGATGGGATCTGATTTATGTTTTTTGTTTGTTTTTGTTTTGTTTTTAAGTGTATCTTTATTGATTTCAGAGAGAGGAAAGGAGAGGGAGAGATAGAAACATCAATGATGAGAGAGTCATTGATCAGCTGCCTCCTGCACGCCCCCGACCGGGGATTGAGCCTGCAACCCGGGCATGTGCCCTGACCTGGAATCGAACCCCGATTGCCTAGGACCCTAGGTCGATGCTCAACCGCTGAGCCACGCCCGGCCGGGCCTGATTTATGTTTTTAAATGACCCCTTGGCTGCTATGTGGATCCTGGATTGGGGGTTAGGGTGGGGGTTAGGATAGGGGCAGGGGCAGAGGGACTCTGGAGGAGGCTGTTACCGCTACCTGGATGAGGGATGGCAATGCTTTGGGCTTGGGGGTGGTGACTGAAGTGGAAAAGTGGAAGATCTGGGGTATCTGGAGGGGAGCCCAGGTACCTGCCAGTCCCTCTGTGTTCACCTGTTGGACAACTGTCCCTCTTTACAAAGTTGCTCAACAGATCCTCCTCCAGAGCCAGCTCTTCCCAGGATGCTCCCAGCTGGGACTTTTGTGAGAGCACTCCTCCAGCCAGGAGGGAGTCTTTTCTACTCGGCCAGGTGCTCCCAGAGGCAGAGGCTGGTTCTGGTCCATCTAGGTGCCCAGCCTGGTGCCAGCCTCCCTTCTAACAGGCTTCACTCGAAGCAGAGCTGGTGATCAACCATCAGTAACCCTCCCTAACAAGGCCCTGCTGCTTTCTCTGAGGGGTGTGGAGGCCTGGGTGGGTGCATCTCTGCAGAGCTCCCCTGGATAGGCTGGCCATGTGTCAGCAGCACTTCCTTCCTATGCTCGAGTCTTGCTCACACCCTCACCTCCTGCTTCCCCGGGGCTTGTTTGCACAGCCCTCACCTGGACCTCAGACCTTGGAGTCAGTGAATGTGAGCCAGATGGCCAGGAACCCCAGCATGAGCCCACTGCCTCAACGGGGCTCCTCCACCCAGGAGCTGATGCCTGACTCCCTGGCTTGGTGCACACCCATGTACCCAGGAAGGCTGAAGAGCTCAGACACAGGGAAAGAGTCCCAAATGCCTACAAGAGCCAAAAGCCTCAGTTTTTTGGTGTTTTTTTTTTCTCTGTATTGAGATGTAATTCACATACCATAAAATTCACCATTATAAAGTGTACAATTCAGTGGCTTTTGGTATATTCACAAGATTGTACAACTGTCTCCACTATTTAATTCCAGGACATATTCATCACTCCAAAAAGAAACCCCGTTAAAGCCAATCCCCACACCCCTCTTCTCCAGGCCCTGACAACCACTCATTTACTCTCTGTTTCTATGGATTTGCCTATTCTGGACATTTCATCTAAATAGCAAAAGGCTCGGCAGCCTTCCAGGCCACAGGTTCCAAGTGGAGCCCATGGAAGGGGCCACAAAAACAACATGGCCTTGTATTCTTTTTGAGATAAGGATTTGTACCAGATATCAGTCCTGCACATTCAAGAGCCTGAGTTTCCCTAAGGAATGATGCCTTACTCATCCCAGAAGCCCCTCAAAGTCTGGGCCAGGACCCACTCACTGCCCTTCACCCCCATCCCCATCCCCACCCCCAGGTCTCAGAGCAGAGAAAACAAAACCAAAGTAAGGAGCAGCTACTGCTCTGGGCCAGTAATTGTCTGCAAGCCCGCATTAGATGCCTGACAAATACCAGCCATGAAATAAGCTTTGACCTAATTCCCCTTACCCAAACAGAGTTTGTAAGACACCAGTTACCAAAAAGAAACAAACTTTTTTTGGGGGAAAATTTCCCCCTGCTCTGTGGCAGTTACGTTTGAGGTGGTCACTTGGCCTATTGCTCCTGGCTCGGCTCAGGTCTGCCTGTTTCGAGGTACCCAATGTGGTAGCCACATGGACATTCCACCCATACATGGGCAGAGAAGGTCCCTGGCATGGGTTTTTCCCACTGTCCAGGAAGTCAAGGGACTGGTTTTGACTGCTAACCATTTGGATTCTCTCAAAGAGGGCTGGGCAAAGGGCCCGGGGGCCTAGTTCTAAAGCCCACGGGCAGGGGCTGGGCAGCCTGTCACCTGTGCTGTGAAGATGGGCTCAGGAAAGCACCACTTTGAAGAAAACACCCAAAGGCAGTTTTTCCTCAGGGCCCCTGCAAGGGGCTCCTGACCCACTTTAAGAGAATCTTTTCTGATTCTAGACATGAACCTTGAGTCACATGATAAATGTGCTCCCAAAACACAGGGTAAATTAATTTTGCTTCTTAAAACCCAAGCATATTTTAAATGTCCGTACAACTCTTCGAGTAATGCAAGCAACTACTCTTACTTGCTATTTGCTTGTAACTATCAAGTTTTCTTAAAAGAGGCTCCACTACATTCACATACATCTTCCTCACCCAGTGCGACCTCTCCTTAGGCCCTTGCCTCTTTGTCCCCACCCCCTGGAGCAGTTGGCACCAGGGCACCGAAAGTCAGTGCCAGAGCCTGTCCTCCTCCTGTGTTCCCAGAAGCTAGGCAGTGGGAGGCAGCAACTGAGTGGAGAGGAGAACCGGGGGATCTGCCCTTATAGGAGCGGGTGTGACACATACAAATGCATCTGCTCTACCTGGAGAAAGATCTTTAAGTTGAAAAAAAAAGATCCAGGCCAGGAGAGTGGTGTTGTGCCTGCCCCTCTGCACCCCACCCCCATCTTTAGTGCTCGAGTTGGTCCTGGGTCCACCTACTCTTTGACCAATGTGAACTACAGGACACCAAATGGTCTCTTCACCACACCCCTACAGAGAATGAAACCCTCCCTCTCTGGGCACTCTCACCACAGCCTATGCCATGAAAGGAACTCAGAAACACTGCTTTTCCTTACACCACTGTGGAATCACAAAAAGCAGGAAGGGGAGCCTGCCCTGCTAAGCCTGTTCTCCAGCCTAGGCCTTTTGTCTAGTCATGGTTATCACAGTGACTCCAGCCCCCTGACCAAGCCAGCAACTTGCCTGCCAGTGGTTTGGCAGTGGTGGGTTATGTCAACTTGGCCCCAAATCAAAGGGTTTGCTCCTTCTAGGGGGCCCAAAAAGCATCTTTGTTAAGCATCTGCTCCTGTGGGGTGCAGTTCTCTTGGGAGTGCTGCTTCATCAAGTAGCAAGGTCAGTGGGCAGCCCCCCTCCCCTCTAGAGTTGAAAGGAGCAAACATCTAGATAGAGCCACCCCAGAGCAGAAAGTCAGACAGAACACTCATCCAACACACTCCTTCTACAGATGAGAAAATGGGGGTCCAAAGGAGCTCATTTCCTGAGTTAGCTGTCTACGTTTTCCATCCTGGGTTTCTGGAGGGAAGCCTCAATGTGTCTTCTCACCTCCCACTACCTTCGGCATGAAACAGCTCTCAGAACCAACCCTCCTCACTCCAGATCAGAAACAGCCAGGCAGTCAGTCACCCTCCTCCCTCTGGGTGACCCCCACCACTAGCCATGTGCACCTCCCACCTGCGGAACTCACCTACACTGGGGCTACATTTGCATGTAACACCCGCCCCCAGAGTCCCCAAAATCTTTCATGCACTCTAGAAGCTCTAACATCACCCTGACTTGGGCTACCTGAGGACAATCTGAAACACTAATCTGGGTTTTTTAAAAAGTGCCACTTAACTGCTCCAAAGCACTCAGAATAGGCTCTTCGTACTTCATCTGCTCCAATGGTCAAAAAACCATGGTTTATAATCATCATGAAGTCTTTTCAAAGCACTGGGTACTTAAACACACTTAAACTTACAAATTCATTAAACAGGCCCTTTACCAACACTAGTGATTTGGAACACCTCGGCAAACCCTTCGTGGTGCATTTGAGACCAAGATAGCTTCATAAAAACCCACTTTCTACACAAGGTGTTCAGGCTCTTTCTCTGGCAAGGGTGCACTCATTGCCAATAAGCACAGAGTGAGCAGAGCATCCACAACCAGGAGATCTGAAGCCCACCAGTTTTGCCGGTTCCTCCAAACACAAAGGTTTGGGGCTTCGGGCTTTAGGGAGAAGGCTAACTACAAAGCTCACAGCTCAGACCACACTATGCACACCATCCTCAGGGTCAGAGGGGTGGGTCTCAGCTCAAATTTACTCAGAGAAGACTACACCGAAGCATCACCTAGCACCAAGATAGCGCCTGCACCTGCTTGTGAACAAGCTGGGAAGACAAAAGCCAACAGCTAACGGAAGTGAGGTTCCCGGGGTCGTCCCTTCTTCCTTCAGCAAAGTTCTCCTCTGGTTCAGATCCTACTGGGTATGAATGGGAAGAGAGACCAGAACAGAGTTTCCATGCATCTATTCTGTTGCAAGAGAATGTCACTTCTTGCCCGTGCCTCACATACCTGGTCAAGGAGGTAGCAGGCACCGGGCTGGGCTAGGGCCACTTACCAGTGGGGGCTGCGGCTGGGGGTGCTGCCCTGCTCCCGAGGGGGGTGGGTAGTGCATGAGCAGATTGAAGGCGGAGTAGACGGTGTCTTTGTACATGCCGCTGGCGCACTCCGGGGCCTTCAGGCCTGGAAAAACCACAGCTGGGTCAGCCACACCAGCCCCGGCAGCGCAGCTCGGGCTGAAGGCTGTCTGCTCTCGAGAGGCAGATAGGAATGGCCAAGGGGTCCCCTTCGAGTTCGTGACGTGAGAAGAAACGGAACGGAGCGAAGGTGCCCGCACCGCCAAGTTTTGACGAAGATCCTCAGGTCCAGGCTTCCCCTAGGTGGTCCCTACTTGACCCCCACCCTGCCAGCGGGCCAGGGAACCTTGGCCAACGCTTCTCCCCAAGACAGGGGATTAGTCAGTCACCTGGGCAGGAGGGGAGGCAGCGGCGGCGGGGGTCTGTTTACTCCTATAAAGGTCAGGGCACCGGAAGTGACTCGAGCCCGGAGGCGCCCGGGAAACCCGCCCCCCACTCTCCCCACCCCCTCGGTTTTACCGCCTCAAGGAGCTGCAGTTGGGGGCGGGGGGCGGGGGGAGGCGCCC